CATACACACACAGTTTGGCCTTCCGATCGACCCTACAGGCAAAACTGTGACAGTTTACCCCCTCCCTTTCCTCCCCATACACGCGCAGATAAAGCGGCAGGCTTCATGCCACAATCACGGTCTTCCAGCCTATAATGTTGAGTCACACACGTCACGTGCTACGGTCCTGCAGGTAGAACTGACAGACTGACGGGTTTCTCACAGGCCAACAGTCCAAACGACTGGCCGGCCAGCCACACCACACACGTCAGTTTTGCCTTTCAGTCTTCAACTGTGCAGGCCGAACTGTGTGTGTATGGGGGCGCTAAGTTCAGTGGGGGTGCAGCCAGAAGAGCGGGAAGAAAGTGAGAATGAGGAAGAGGTGGACAATGCTGCTAGTAAGAAAATATCACATGGTGCTGCTCTTAATCATTTGGAATCCTTACTAGACTATCTTGAGAGTGAAGAGAACAGTTTATTAAGTGACAAGCTAATATTACGTAGGCTTCGTACGGATATAAATAAAAAGGAAAATGCCGTGAAAAAGCAAACGACAATATTAATTTTTTTAAGTGTTAAGTGTGAATATTCGTAAAAAGTGTTGGATGTTGTTGAACACTGTGATTGAAATAACTAATTCACACTTCAGTATAATGTAAAAAAAGTATTTAATAGGCCATGAGATGACATAAAAATGAGGTTAAGTAAATTTAAATACAGGTAGGCCTATAGTATTATGAAGGTACAGTATTACAGTACTACTTTTAATAACATTTCTCTTAACCGGGTTTTCGATTAATTGTGATTTCCATGCCCACCATTATCCCGGATAATCGAGAGTTGACTGTATTTAGTTTCTGGGTCTAGTTCACAGCATAATCCTCACCCATCTCATCCCTTGAATGTATGTACATATTACATTTTATGTCAGTTAGATCTAAGCCTGAGTACTTCTCCATTGTTTGGAATCCTATTTCTGCCTACTAATGTCAACAATGTGTGGCTATGTGGGGATGTCACTAGCTGGCAGTAATGGCTCACCTAAGCATGTTGAAACTTTACTGTTGTGTTGCCTGCCACATTAGCATTGCCTGCCACATTAGCATTGCCAACCACAAAAGATACATTAAGGGAGGAACACAGACTGAGGGTGTTTGAGAACAGGGTGTTGAGGAGAATATTTGGACCAAAGAGAGATGAAGTGACAGGAGGTTGGAGAAAACTGCATGATGAGGAGCTTCATAACATGTACTCTTCTCCAAGTATAATTAGAATGATTAAGTCAAGGAGGATGAGGTGGGCAGGTCATGCAGCATGAATAGGGGAGACGAGGAATGCATATAGGATATTGGTGGGAAAGCCAGAAGGAAAGAGACCACAGGGAAGACCAAGGCATAGGTGGGTGGACAATATTAGAATGGATCTTAGAGAGATAGGAGGGGATGGTATGGATTGGATTGATCTGGCTCAGGATAGGGACCAATGGAGGGCTCTTGTGAACACGGTAATGAACCTTCGGGTTCCATAAAATGCTGGGAAATTCTTGAGTAGCTGCAGAATTGGCTACTCCTCAAGAAGGGCTCAGCTCCATGAGTAAGTAAGTAAGTACGTAACCATAAAAGATAACTTTCCAAAGAAAGAAAGAAAGAAAGAAAAAAAGAGAATAAAGAAAGAAAATCAAAGATTAACCCTTTTAAAATAAAACCAAAGGCTCAACCATCTAAAAACAAAACAAAAGGCCTAACATTACAGACCTGTTTAAATTCTATGGTTAGGATTCAGTTTGTCTTCTTATGAATGCACTTCTGAGGCTGGTGGTAGATAACATGGCTGACAACATGGTGGTAAGTTTAAAGTTACACACGTCACCCACTAATACATGAGCAATGCTGCAAAATTTTTCATTCAACACATTTTACAACAAAATGTGTAAAAACTGCAGTGTCATGTGACCGCAAATCCATTCACAGCACAACCATTGTCAGTTCATTCATCTTAACCTTCGGCTGACAAAACCTCTTATGCACTGGCGCTCACAGACTTAGCAAACACTAGAACCCTCCACAATTTGCAAACCATTGCAAGGTCATTTTAAAAATAAACAAACAATAATGTACATATGAAGGATAAACCTGAGGAGTACAGTTTTCTACAATATCGTGGTATGTACAGCCATTGCTAGGCACAGAAATCAAAATAAAGAGCAACAGCCATTGCTAAGTAACAGCTCTTTAAAGAACACTGCTAGGTAATTGACACAACACATAAACACACAAAAGCAGAAGAACTGTTGGGAGAGGTATTTTCTGTGTGTTCCATACCGAGGTTATATAACAAGGGTCAGCTGCCATTAGAAGAGAGTCTTGAGACGGAAGTGAGAAGACCGGGAGGTTTGTGTGAGATGGTCACCAGCTCGGGAATTACTGGGGTCAGGTGAGTGAGTGAGTGACTGAGTTAGAGTACTGCTACATTCAGTAGCTATTGCTCTTATAAGCTGGTAGCTGAGGCACAGGGACAGATTGGGAACCCAGAGGAAGGGCAACGTCCACCGTTGGAAGCCGTTACCAGGAGACTGGTGAAGACACAGCAGACTGAGAAGACTTAAGTGTGTGGCTGAGTGAACTGTAAAGTGTGTGAATTAGTGATAGCAATATAGTTACTTATAGTTACGATCTGCGACTGTTCATAAATCTGACTATTAATCCAAATCCTCTACACAGTCACTACAACTCTTGAAAATGTGATGTTGCATAGGTTGAGACTGAGTTAGTATGTGTCCTCTAAATGTAGGTGAACTTTTGCTTGACTACACGCAATTACATCCCAGAAGTCAGTAACCTGCACAGCTCCAGCTGTGAGGATCTCAAATCCAAGGACAGTAACTGACTTTCACAGACAATTAAAATAGGGGGGGTAACAATCAATTTAGATTCAAACGCAATGTAAAATTATTGTTTTTCTGGATATTATCCATTATCCTGTTTTTATTTAAAAAACACACAACATTTCGGAGATTCGATTCTGTCTCCATCTTCAGGTGGAACCTACTCAGTTGGGCCCTATCAGTAGAGCTAGTCCCTCTCTCTGGACATGAGCACCAACAGAAGAGAGGATATACAGACCAATTACAGCATAAACCATCTGCAAGAGTTATGACAAACACTAAGGACATTAAGGAGGCCCAGAACCTATGTCCATGCACTCATTCATAGCTTTGCTGTTAAAATCAGAGTGGTATCAGAACAGAAGTCATCACTAAAGGGACCAATTATCTGTATGTTATCAACACAAAAACACAATTTTCACACATAATCTACACTGGATGTAGTTGTAGTTTTCTGGCTTCTGCTGCGATAATAGGAGTCCAGATGGGAGAGATGTCTAACCTGGGTTCACTGATAGGATGATTTAACAGACACCTACAGGAAATACAATGAATCTGCCCACAAGTCTCTGGCAGATCATCGACTCAATGAACCCAGCTTGGACATCTCCCCCATCTGGACTCCATTAACGCAGCAGAAGTCAGAAAACTACAACTCCATACGGTGTAGATTATGCGCGATGTAAAACTGTTTCTACGAGGGCCGATCAATAAGTACCCGTGTTTGAAGACAGGTGGCGTTGCTGAGGGAAGTTGGCTTTACCGTCGTGTACTGCCATCTGTCAAACGACCCCATACTAAATTTCAGACTGATTCATAGGTTAGTTTTTATTTGGCAGCCAGTTGCATCAGACGTGTTTTGTCTTTCTTGATACAATGGAGAAAGTGCAATATCGATCCGTAATTCGCTTTTTATTTTTGGATGGAAAAACATGCGAAGAAATAAAAGCGAAGTTGGATGCCGTCTATGGGGACCCTTCACCATCTATGACAACCGTGAGATATTGGTTCAACGAATTTAAACGTGGTCGTACATCTGTTTTTGACGAGGAGCGGCCGGGCCGCCCGGCAGACGTCGTTACCGAGGAAATCGTTGAAAAGGTCCATGACATGATTCTCGCTGATCGCCGAACTAAAGTGCGCGAAGTAGCAGAGGCCATAGGTGTGTCGTACGGAACGGCACTCAATATTTTACATGATAACTTAAGTATGAGAAAGGTGTCAGCCCGATGGGTGCCGCGGTTGCTCACGGTGGACAACAAGCGGATACGGCTGTCAATGTCGAAGCAGTGTTTGGACCTCTTTAAGCGAAATTCGCAGGAGTTTTTGCGTCGAGTCGTCACCGTTGATGAAACCTGGATACATTATTATACGCCAGAGACCAAGCGACAGTCAAAACAATGGATTTTTCCGGGTGAATCTGCTCCGAAGAAGGCAAAGACGGTCCCATCGGCCGGAAAGGTCATGGCCACGATTTTTTGGGATTCGAAGGGAATAATCCTCATGGACTTTTTGCAGAAAGGAAGAACGATCACGGGGCAGTACTACAGTGAATTATTGGACCGATTCGATAAGAAATTGAAGGAGACACGGCCCCATTTGGCTAAGAAAAAGGTGCTGTTTCACCACGATAACGCACCAGCACATTCATCTGGAATTGTCGTAGCCAAATTGCATGAACTGCACTATGAATTGCTGCCACACCCACCGTACTCGCCTGACCTGGCTCCCTGTGACTTTTTTCTGTTCCCCAACATGAAAACATGGCTCGGGGGAAAAAAATTCAGCTCAAACGAGGAGGTTATCGCCGAGACAGAAGCGTATTTTGAAGAGTTTGACAAATCGTATTTTTTGGAGGGGTTAAAGAAATGGCAGAAACGTTGGGAAAAGTGTATCGACCTGAAAGGAGATTACGTTGAAAAAAAAAAAAAAAAGGGAAAAACTTGTGTCTTTATTCCTAACACAGGTACTTATTGATCGACCCTCGTATGTTGATACCAAACAGAGAGTTTGTCTCTTTAGTGGTGACTTCTATTCTGCGAGTACTTTTATTTTTACAACAGCAGCCGCAAAAGAGTGCATGGATATAGGTGCTAGGCCTCATGTGACGGGTTTTTTGATGTTTGTCTTAGCTCTCACAGATGGTTTATATATCCTACTTTGTGTTGGTGGTCATTTATGGAGAAAGGGATCAGCTCTATTGATTGGGCCCAACTAAGTAGGCTTTTACCTAAGGACAGAGACAGAATCCTGTCTGTGAAATGTTGCATGTCTTAAATAAAAACAGAATGATGAATAATGTCCAGAAACATAATTGTGTTAATACACCATTGTCACAAACTTTTAACCTTATCCTTAACACAACAGGCTTGTTATTTTCTCATTATGTATATTAGACATAAATGGCAGTGATGAATGTTCCTGAGCTACTCTTGCAGTAATAAGATTGCTTGGTCTCCAAATAAAAAAATATGTCTTGTGTCCACAAACTTTTGGAACTTCCCATACATCATGTGCATATATGAATTTTGGGGAATGAAACATGTGTGCAATTCTGACTCACCTCCATGCACGGATCCAGTAACTCAGTTTCTTGAATTCCTTTCGCAAATTCAAATATGGATATTACATTACTTGGACGCAGATTACTGAGAAGGTAGTTGCGACACAAATGGGATAAATGAGGCAACATATATTTTTTTGAAGTATAAAGGACTCCACCCGCTTCTTCAACTGAAGACAGTTTTATGGAATCAGTATATATGTACCTGTAACATGTACATTCATAACTTACTTATTTACTTACTCATGGAGCTGAGCCCTTCTGGAGGAGCCACCTATTCTGCAGCTACTCATGAATTTCCCAGCATTTTATGGAACCTGAAGGTTCATTACCGTGTTCACAAGAGCCCTCCACTGGTCCCTATCCTGAGCCAGATCTATCCAATCCATACCATCCCATCCTATCTCTCTAAGATCCATTCTAATATTGTCCACCCACCTATGCCTTGGTCTTCCCTGTGGTCTCGTTCCTTCTGGCTTTCCCACCAATATCCTATATGCATTTGTCTCCCCTATTCGTGCTGCATGACCTGCCCACCTCATCCTCCTTGACTTGATCATTCTAATTATACTTGGAGAAGAGTACATGTTATGAAGCTCCTCATCATGCAGTTTTCTCCAACCTCCTGTCACTTCATCTCTCTTTGGTACAAATATTCTTCTCAACACCCTGTTCTCAAACACCCTCAGTCTATGTTCCTCCCTTAATGTTAGAGACCAAGTTTCACACCCATATAGAACCACAGGCAAAATTATAGTTTTGTATATTCTACATTCATAACACAAGCTGTCCCTGTACTTAAGCACCATGGCATAAGCATATGGGAGGAGTTAAAGCTCCACATATTCTTAACCTCAGAGCTAGATGTAGAAAAGCCAGCTTGAGCCACATGACCCCCTCCCCCTTTGCGTAAGAGGCTGGAGAGCTGTATGGATGCCGTGGAGGAGAAAAATATCTCTTGCCCTTCTCAGGAATTGAGCCAGTTGCTTAGCTGTCCAGGCTACAGCCTAGTCACTGCACCAGTCTAGCAATCAAGCCTCCTGTTAAAACTTTTATGATTCTGATTTACATAAGCACAACTTACGAAGCTGGAAGACAGGTCGGTATAGCAATCAGGCTACTGTGGGGACAAGAGCAAGGTATTTTTCTGCCCTCTGGTGTCCTATACAAAGTTGTGTGAAATGGAATGTTGGTTTTCTTGCAAACACTGTGTCATACAAATGAGAAAGCTAATGAGAGGTAGAAATGGACTTTAAAAAGTGATTATCTAAAGTCATATAATATGTCTACCAGAATAGACTTCTGGAAGTGGCAATTTTAATCTTCAAACTACTAAAACACTGTAATATTGGACGTCATCATTCTTACTGAAAACACAGTTTATCTCCCATAGTGCTCACAAATCTGCCACATTATCTTCTAACAACATAAATTATAGGGATATGTACTGCTGTTATGTGTGATAAATAAAGTGATAATACAGCATGCTTCCCTCAGTTTTACTACTCACCATTATATGCACAAATTAAGTGGTTCTGTGCTGAATCTAAAATCTTAAAATATTAACAATATGTCAAAAGTTTTAATATTACTAAAATGTTAAAATATTAGGCTTACAGAAATTACATATTCTGGATATTTTCTCATCCCTAGTTGAAAGGAGTCATGTTGGACTTGTTATTGTTCGTGACTGTATTTCGGTTTTGGCTATTGTCTTGATTCGACAATGTTGTGTGCATGATGTAACTGTCTTCTCTTATGTGGTATATAATGCTGATGTTTTGCGTTGGGCCATAGTTGGCTACACTGAGTTGTAATAATTAATTATACTGGTTACTTCTTATTGTTCCACAATCTGATTTCTGACCTATATTGGTTGGCTTGACAACTGGGTCTTTTGTTGGAAGTAGACAATCTTCCTTCTGAAGTTCATAGCAGCTCAGCTTGTCAGATAATTTCCTGTCCTTGAGGGGGTGCAATGGGGGGTGTTCGGTTTGAATCTTGGCAAAGACATGAACTATCCTAACTTAGATTTTATGTGGTTTTTCTCACCTCCTCTGCACAAATGGCAGAACATTACTTCAAATTACGCCATTACTGTTCCTTCCAAGTCATCAGTCACCACACCATTAGACAGTATACAGCCTACATACTAAGAGCATCATAATATAAACAAGAAATTATTATATATGCAGACATTACTTACTCCAGCAACATTCGGAATACATCAGGCTCCATATCATCTATACTGATGCACTGTTTCTCAGCAAGGGGGCCAAAGCACATGGCCTCAAACACAGGACTGCAAGATGCCAAGATCAGTTTATGGGCTTTGAATACCTGTAACATTAATACCATACAATTTATGTACTTATATGAGCTACTACATAGTAGGAGCCTAGATAGCATGGTCAATATAGAGACTGGCTACAGGCTGGAAGACAGAGGGGTTGGAGTTAAAGTCCCACTAGGGTCAAGAACTTTCTCTTCTCCACATCACCCAGACCACCTTCTGGGACCCATTCAAGCCTCCTATCGAATGGGTACCGGGGGATCTTCCCCTGGGTGTAAAACTGCCAGGGCATGAAGCAGACCACTCACCACCAACTAGTGTTGAGGTCAAGAAAATGTGATCTATACATCCAATCCCCCATACGCCTTCATGGCGTAGTGAATAATTACTTATGCATAGGAACAACTATTACCTTTACATGAACTATTATATTCCAAAATAATATTTTCAAAATAAAATATTACTTCAGCACTTACATACTAACTAGTGGCCCCAGTAATTTTAAAATTTTGGGGGGTTATTTATTGATGCTTTCAGTATCAAGAATACAAAGGCTGGAAATGGTAGGTGGGCTGATTAACTGCAAATGATCCGGAAAGAAGTGGTGGTGGCATAATTATGGCATTATCGTCAAGGGACTGGTAAGCACCATGAAAACATCTGCTAGCACAGACATCCTGACCAACATTCGAGTTAGAGTCTTAGCCCCAGATCAATCTGTTTAGTACCTTCCAAATTAACTGACATCTCCATCTCAGCATGCACAGCTGATCTGGCACTGCCCAGCTCTGAGAGGAAGGTCACTTGTGTTCTTGAAAGATGTGTATGCTACTTTGGTTGCCATAAAATGAAATGAAGGTGATTCAGGCGAAGGTGACATGACAGATTATGACACAATAGTGGATATTTGTAAGATGCATTAACTATTTGTAAATAAGACAATACAGTGTCCAATAAACCTAACTTAAAATCTCAACCCCTGTGTCTAGTCATTATCAGGTGACAATACGTAAAGGTTGAACCACTGAATTCCATGGATTCTGATGTTATGAATGTGGAGCAACTCAACATTTCTGGAAAAACGTGTACATATCCTTAATTATAACAAAAAGGCGCTGCTACTTCAAATTAGAACATTTCATTGAGTTCAGAGTCCACAACCAGAAGCCTCCATCTCCGAAATTAACAGAAATATTTATGAACAAAGAAATGTTCTGTGTATTGTGTTAAATACCAAGCATCACAGTTAAGGTATCACTAAAAGCAATGAACCAGACGTATACAACCAACATATCTTCTGGTAATTCTGTATTTCAGCATCCTGTTGCACATCTTTATTAAACGTCTATGTACTACGTCTGTCAATAGTGCAACAATCATTAAAATATTCACCATTCAACACCAATATGACATGTTTCGCCCACAGACGGCCAACCTCAGGTGTTCTGAGGTGTGTAAACTGTTACACTGTTTTGATGCACGCTAAAATTGCGCTTTGCAGTCCACTTAAATTAAAATCTTTCGTAAAATCCTATCCACCTCGTAAGGGGCATTGTCCACTTGTTTAAAGCGTCACTAGTGAAGGCAACAAGACACGATGCTAGAGGGAACAACACACAAACAAGGGGCATATTGCAGATCACAGACGTAGCTGCTGAAACAGACTGTCTGGAATACACGCATCACATAGCTTTAAACAAGTGGACAACGCCCCTTACGAGGTGGATAGGATTTTACAAAATATTTTTAATTTAAGTGGACTGCAAAGCACAATTTTAGCATGCATAAAAACAGTGTAACAGTTTAGACACATCAAAACACCAGAGGATGGCCGTCTGTGGGCGAAACATATCGTTTTGGTGTTGAATGGTAAATATTTTAATGATGGTTGCACTATTGGCAGACTAAATACATGGACATTTAATATCTTCTGGTGCTAAAATTATAAGCATTACAGTGATGTGACCTATTTCTGAATCCTACAGCCCCATTTAAATATATCAATTATAATCAAACATGGCTCAATTTGATGTGTACAGGTCTGAAGGAGATCCGGAAAAGAAAATAAAGTCTAGTATGTTTTTTCTGTTTACAATCTGTGCAGACCACATTCAACGTCAGGGCAAGATAGTCTGCATACTCAGTTTAATGTCCTTCAATCTTCAAAATACGAGCCAGATATTAATCCTGTTGAATTGATATATTTTATAGTCCAGAAGTTTTACCTCAAAGTCAGTCTTTTCCCCCACTTGGAAAGTGCAATCACTCCATTGCGACGTCTTCAAAAGTGTCTCAATCCGGTCCCGTACACATTCTTTTGACAACTGCCAATCAACTTCCAAATTTTTATTCGTTACGGCTACAGCCATCTGAAACCAAAAATGTCATTATCATTGTCATACAGGCGTAGTGAACTTCCTACTCACTGCAATTTATTACACCTGCACCAATATCTAATTTAGTTCTACCAAATGGGTCAGGTTACATTCAATGACAAAAGAAATAAATTCCTATAATTTATCCTTCAAAACGCCACTGGATAACTGCCGCGCTATTTACTAAGACACAAACGTCGTTCATAAACTGTGTTGCATAACACTCACAGTCAAAACCTTGAACTCACAACCCACGCAGACCCTCCAAGGCCATGTGTATTAATTCATAGCCAACTTGAAAACTTGAATCACCTTACTGGCACATTTAGGGCCAAAAAAGTGTCTTCTTCGAGGTCTTCGAGGGACATACTGAGCATACAGAGATCATCGTAAGTTCGTTACTTAAGTGCTGCAATTCCGCTTTGCAGATACTAGTCACGTCTGTCACGTCCGTCACGACGGTCACGACGATGTATTTCCTACAGGGAATGTACGTTAACATTCCGTAATAGTTGGCTCTACTGGAAATGAATAGTGAGAGGCACGTGGAGAAGTGATTTGAAAATATATTCAAGTTTTATATTATGATATTGAATATTTTTGCAGATATTCTTCCCAAGTGTTTGGCGTTTAATAGAGCTACTGGTAACTTCAACAAAAAACTATGTTACCAGATTCTTTTAATCCCAAATCGCCATTATGCTGGTGAGAAGAGTTATGTGTATTATAACCTTACATTTGATACAAAAGGCACCTTCTGTGTTTGTGATGAGATTAATGGTAGAATACCATGCAGCGACTATCATCTGTCTGTGTGCAAGCTCCAGAAGAAACAGCCAGTCTCTAGTATACGCTACGACATAAACTAAGGACAGAAGGGACTTTGCGTCACGTCCAAAGGCGGGTTTCTATGCGAAACGCTTTGATGTGGCAATGTCCCAAGACGGGTTTTGATACAAAATGCTTTGATCTGGTCGACTGCATATAAGAAGGGTTAGGGCTTTCAATCTTATTCATATGTGTATTATATACAACAATACAATCTGCCACAAAGTATTAAAAACTTGGGCAATGATACTAAAAAGTTTAAATCAGAGTTAAAGAATTATCTACATGCTCATTCCTTCTACTCCTTAGATGAATACTTCAATGTAAATAGAGAATGATGTAAAATTAAGTTATATTAATTTTTAAGCTAAAATTGCCTGTACTTATGTATGTAACCTTTTAACTTGTTCTGTATCCAAAGGTACTAACCTGCTTAGGATTTATAGAATGTAAATAAATTCAATTCAATTCAATACAAATATTCAAGGCATGAAAAGCAAAAGTGATGTACATTTCTAACATTTAAAGGAGTTGCAGGGGAATGATGTTATAAATCACCGTATAGTGCGTGTGTGTATATATATATATATATATACACAAGCATATAGAGTTTCAACTTGCTCACAGTAGCTCTACTTTCCAACATAACCTAATGCAAGGTGAATGTGAAGGGATTTCCTGTAGATCCTGTCATCATATGATACACTTACCACCTCCTGAATTTCCAACCACCTTACCCAAACCTCAGATGAAGAATGGAGCAGTTTTATATGCTGATCCCATGTATCTGTTGCTGAATAAGAAAGCTTTCCGTCCTTACTGAGTCTCCCTAACCTCAATCAATTTTGGATTTATTTAAAGTAAAAGTAAAGGTATCACCTTAACAGGCTGTGGAGGCCCATAGGGTTGTGAGATGTTGAGGCTCTCACATTTTCTAGACAGTTGGCTCATACATGGCGGCAAGGTTGTCAGCCTTATGTGCTGGCCATCCTTTATCCCCAGGAAGATTCCTGGTACTCATTTCTGTTAGAGGCTGAGTCGACCCAGGGCCATAGTGCGGCTGGAAGGATTAGGTCAATTGAGAAAATCCACCTTATAGGGATTCAATCACATGACCTTCCGGCTTGTAGCATGGTGCCTCAACCAACTATGCTACTACATAAAAATAAGAAAAAAAGTAAAGCTATCCTTGTAACAGACCATAAAGGCCCATAGGGTTGTGATATATCAAGGCGCCCACATTTTCTAGACCGTCGGCTCACAGATGGCGGTGAGGTTGTCAGCCCTTATGCTGAAGAAGGTTTCTGGTACTCATTTCTGTTAGAGGCTGAGTTGATTCCAGGGCCATAGTGCAGCTGGAAGGATTAGGTAAATTGAAAAAATCCCATGACCTCATCGGGATTAGAACCTGCAACCTTCTGGCTTGTAGCTTAGTGCTTCAACCAACTATGATACTGCCTGCCCCCTTGTTTAAAGTATAGTGGTAACTATATGCACTACCCACTTTAATATTAAGAAACTCAGCATTAGACAGCTGGGAAGCCAGGGAGGGCTGAGTACAGAAACAGTGCCCCATTAAAGGGCCATTTTCAACGGCAGTGAATGTGAGAAGACCCTTCAAAGGTGTGCTGTATCCTTTCAGTTACTCTTGGCTTCCCTCCAGGTCCTGTTGATTTACCCAGAGCCATTATTTTCCCCATTTATGCAGCCCTTGAAGGGCCACTCTTACCTTAGTTTGTTCGTCTCGACTTCTGCCCTGCTGGTTCATACAGCCGTTTATTTCTCACATTCACCCTGCCCTTGGAAAGTGGACCTTTGAGGGACCAGTAGTCTTTAAACAGTTATCAGTATTTTTGTTGATTTTCTCAGGGTCCCAGTCCTCTCTCTTCTGTATCTCTGTACCATTTCTTCCATGCTCAGCTTGCTCTTCTACCCTGAAGATGGAGGCAGCAGGTTCCTCCAAAATGTTAGTATGTGGTGTTGTGTACCAGATGACAGCAGTCTGTACTCAGACTGCTGTCAGGAATTGAAAGTGATAGTTCCCTGACCACACAATTTACTGTAGTAACCAAATAAGTTGAATCTCATTCAAGGAGGTACGGGTGTGCACATGCCACTGTGTTCTGAAATACTACCCATAGATACAAGGGTCGTCCCAAAGGTAACAACTGCTAGCACATGTGCTACTAACTGACTTTGCCTGGGATGCTTTTTTACCATCCTCCCTACAGTCCAGATCTGGCTCCAAGTGATTTTCACTTCTCCACACACTTGAAGCAGTTTTTTGGTGACGTGTGCATGTGTGGCAATGAAGAAGTGAAGAAGACTGTTAAAGACTGGTTCAGTGGACTGGTGGCAGACTTCTATGGTGCAGGCATACAGAAACTCACCACATGATATGACAAATGCCTATATCTTCATGGGAATTCTGTAGAAAAATTATCTAAGGTCTGTAGTAATGATGTAAAATATTTTTTTTTATTCATTTTTTTAATCACCAAACAGACTTCACTTTCTGGACAATCTACGTAGTACCCAAAGATGTTTATATTGTCACGTCATGAATCTGAAAGGGATAATTCCATTGAAATGCAGTAACAGTGGGCTGTTGCACAGGAACAGCCCAGACAACAAATGTGTTGAAAAGAAACTTTGGGTTATTGTCTTCTGTTAGGAGGATCTTTGCTGCAGAACAGAGAAACTGATGAGAATGGTAAACTACAGTAATATAATAAAAAAAAATTAAAATGAGTTGTTTCATCTCAGAATTTAAATGCAGATGAGCAGATATTGCACACTCGATACATTACACATTTACATAAACATTTTTTATGTACTTATATAAAGTGGCCCAGAATTCTGGAATCATGAGACATTACTACTGATATTCTTACCTTTAGCTTTCAAACTGGAGACATATGGTTGGAGATTTGGAGATGATGAAATGGGTGAAGGAGAAAACGATGTAAACAGACCTGTCTGTTGTGTAGATCCCCACATTCTGTTGAATGACTGGAGTTCTAATACATTCCTTAATCATCATGTCCTTAAACATTGTGTCTCCTTGATTTCACATTTTAAAATTTCTGAAATCAGGGTGCATCTTTCATTTGAAGCCTACCAAGAATTGATTTTGAAAAATGCTCTGTATGATTGAAGTGCAAGGAAATGCTTCATGTTGTGGGACAGTAAACCCAACAGTAGCAACAAAGGAGATTGCAAAATATTTCTGAGCATTTCTATCATTAAAACTTTTGTGACATGTAACAGTGCATGAAGCAGCCAGAGGCAACTCAGAGGCTGAAAATACCAAGTTGTTTTAATGTTAACTAATACTCTACAAGGAAGAGAAATCGGCTTTCAGTGCTACACATATGCTCAATGTTGCATCTTGAAACCTTTCTTAAAATCAACACTTGGAAAGGAGATGGAGGCGTCATTGGTGTTGGTAAACACTTGGTTATCATCTCAGTCTGCTGTGGCATGTGGCTACACATGGGTGTATTTTAATTCTTAAAATGAAATTTGAAACCCCAAATACAAAGTAGGTAATTTCCAATTAAAAATTTCTTCAAAACAGTTCCATCATAACACAGCATTGAAACAAATTCAAGGGCTTGTCTTACAATAGACAGTGACCTTTTTCCTGAAAACTAAATGAAGGCTGTATCTTAACAATCATTGGTGCCCTAGACTCGAGGAAATACAGCAGTTGACCATGGTTGGTCAGTGAAAACTGCCTGTTCAGGTGTCTTCACAGAAAATCATTTGTGAAGAGGCAGATTATCAACATATAGCAGTAACTCTCCTTGATTCTGGGATTTTCAGGCATTTTGTACAGTATATAGTGTGGAAAAAAAGTAATCCATTTCAGAAGATTTGAGGTTCTCATACTGGTGATAATGCCTCATAATCTGGTACATTGTACTGATGTTTTGGACAGATAGAGTAGCCTTCGAATAGAGGTTTATCACATGAGATTTGGGCTTCTCATGGCAATGCCCATCTTGAAAATGGAGACAGCCCATAGCTCATTCCTACAATCTATCACATTACAAAAAGTTAATATCAGAAGAGAGTAATCTTAATGTATTGCATTTATTTCAGCACTAAAAAGATTTTACCGAAGAACAGGCATTCTGAACAGTGATGGAAAGTTTGAAATAACTCTTGATCAACGGAAACTTAAAACACCCAAAGGTAACCCATTTATCATTAACAGCGAGCCACTGGCGCTTGCTGTTGCAGCTGAATGGGATGCCCAGAAAGAAAAAATTTGGCAGAGTTCCATGCATTTGGTATGTACTGCATGACTGATACAATCAGTGATCATAGATTACAAAGTAGGTTATGGCAAAGTTGCCCCTAAGCACCATAAAGGTAAAGCTATCCCTGTAACAGGCCATGGAGGCCCACAGGGATGTGAGATGTCAAGGTTCCCACATTTTCTAGACAGTTGGCTCACAGATGGCAGAGAGATTGTCACCCTTATGCACTGGCTGCCCTTTACCCCCAGGAATTTTCCTGGTACTCATTTCTGTTAGAGGCTGAGTCAATCCCAGGGCCAAGGATTAGGTCAATCGAAAAATTCAATGATATCAGGATTTGAACCAGTTACCTTCTGGCTTGTGGCATAGTGCCTCAGCCAATGATGCTACTGTGTGCCTTTCCTAACATTGTACCATGTTGATATATGAGAGTGTTGAAATATAGTTTGATGCATCATTAACCCTGACATTATGTGGAGGTCAATGAACAGCTTCACACTCTACCTTCTGTACCATTGGGGAAAGAGCCCACTGGACAGGAAGCTGGATGTACTTCAATGTTGCCCCTGCTGGGAATCAAACCTCAATTCCCTGTCATGCAGTCTGCAGCTAGTCACTATACCAACTGAGCTATCCCAGCTCTGTAGACTACAAAGTATAACATTAAACCGTAAGTTTATAGTAACTGAAAGGCTTTACAACAATCAGCAGGGACAGTATTTCTGAACTTTCATCTGGTATTCAAGTATGACCTATATGCTCTTCACTTTCAATGTTATGTAAATATTTGACTGTTTTTTTTATGAAATAGGGTTATGTTCATGTGACACATGCATATTTGGACTTTGCATAATTTCAGTGTTTACATACTATATGCATTCACTGTTTGCTTTCCTTTTCTTTGCAGACAGCTCTGTGCAGCACGGCCATTGACAACCCGAACAACTTAACCAAGTCTGATTTAGTTCAACATATAATGAGTTATTTGGACACGGACACTGTGCTGTTTCAGTCAAGTGTAAGAAATGGTCATAAACGGCTTTTATGATTTCAGAATTATGTTATTGTTTGAGTCAGTAAAAATAAAACAAGCTGCAAGCTGAAAACCCATCTATAGCCGTAAATATTTGGACCAAACTACTGCTGAGTAGTAACCTAGAGCATCTGGCCGTGCCATAGCTCAAGCGGTTAGTCACTGCCTTCCCACCGTGGCGGCCAGGGTTCAATCCCGGGTCTGGTCAAGTGGGATTTGTGGTGGACAAAGTGGCACTGGGGAGGGTTTTCTCCGAGTACTTTGGTTTCCCCTGCCAATCTTCATTCCGCCAAATTCTCCATCATCATAATCACCCAGGGCAGGTTACGACAGGTCAATCAGTGGCCGCTGTGCCAAGTGGACTCAGTTGGACTCCACCCCCCACTAAGCAAACCTAGAGCATTATCAGTAAACCAGTGTGATTGGTCAAGTGGAAGTAGTGCGTTAATAAACACATTTATGTCTTGGTAGTTGGACTGAGAGATGTTACCATGTACCCTTGATCAGAAACAGATCTAGGAATTAATATACATTTAAAGTGTTAAGAGAATGTAATAATGTTGGCCATGCCTTAAGAAACGCAATATTTGAAACATTCAACTAACTTCATGCAGCTGAGCCCTTCTTGAGAAGCCATCAGTTGTGCAGCTACTCAAGTACATCCCAGCATTTTATGGAACTTGAAGATTCATTACCATGTTCACAACAGCCCTCCACTGATACCTATTCTGAGCCAGATCTGTCCAATCCATACCATCCCATCCTATCTCTCTAAGATCCATTCTAATATTGTCCACCCACCTATGCCTTGGTCTTCCCTGTTCTCTTTCCTTCTGGCTTTCCCACCAATATCCTATACGTATTCCTCTTCTCCCCCATTTGTGCTACATGACCTGCCCACCTCATCCTCCTTGACTTGATCATTCTAATTACACTTGGAGAAGAGTACAAGTTATGAAGCTCCTCATTATACAGTTTTCTCCAACCTCCTGTCACTTCATTTCTCTTCAATCCAAATATTCTCAAGACCCTGTTCTCAAACACCCTAAGTCTATGTTCCACCCTTAATGTCAGAGACAAAGTCCCATCTGACCTCCTGTACTCGTGCTAAATCTAACTTATATTTTGACATTTCTTTCACAGCTGTCATGAGTGAACCAACATATACAGACCTCTTACATTCCATGTACCAAATCTCATGCCCATGAGATTTGGTAAGTGAAACATTCATAACATACTAACTCTGTCATGAACCCTTTGAAGCCAACATTTTTATGGAGAAAGATCTAGGCTATTACGAAAAGTTTAGTTTAAGTATGAGCTGCATCAGAGGAATAGCATCTTACCTCCAGCCCGATCAAACTGGTGATGCTGTGATGTTTCTTCCTAAAACAATGATGCAGTCTCTTCAACTGATATTGTGTTGGATCTTGCCTTACAATGCAAACATGAATGCTATTTGCATCACACACACTCAAAGTCACATTTTTATACATGTCCTTAGAGTTACTGGGTTATCAATTCTTTGGAATTCACATAATTTCAAATTTTGCGCATAGCTGAGACTTTATTAATATTTTTTATAGTGCACTATTTAAGACTTGCACAAAGTGCAACCATATCATATTATGCATAAAGAGGCACCACAAAAAATATAACTTACTTTTCTTAAGACATGTTCAGTAATGCAGTACTTTGTGACAGTCTGAAACATGATTACCTACATCACATCCTTCACAGTGGTAAAAATATTATATTTAAGCATCCTGTTGCACTCTACACGATAAATGATACAAACTCCGTCCTAAGTGCAAACAATATATATTTATATGTCTTTGATCTTGTTCTTTCTACACTACATGTTTCGGCCTCTATCGGCCATCATCAGGTGTATACTCTTAACGTTGCTGCCACACTGAACCCAGTCTAAAACTTAACATTTAAAAACACAATGTCATATTCTTCGTATTATCAACATCTACATCGTTGATATGTGTCTGGTATGTAGATTATGTTGCACACGTCAAACCCGATATTCTTGTAGTAGCACTCTAAAAATCTTTAGTTATGATGTTTTTAAAACCTTTTAAAATTTTTCTCTAAATTTTAAATTTAAAATTTAAAATTCTTAGGGTTACTCGCCCTATGTCTAAGTGCTGGAGCGGCTAGTTCTTGTTTTCACACTGTACAGGTGTTATTTAATGTAGTCTTCTTGTGTGGGTGCCGCTGCTTGTGTGTACTACGTGTGCTCTTAGGACGGAGTTTGTATCATTTATCGGGTAAAAATATCTTCAGATTTTGGCTTTATCAGCACACAGTCAACATCTTTGAGAGCTACTTTTGGTGAGCCAGTGATTTAAATGCTCTAGGTCAAGCTGAGAAATGTGAACTGCTTTTGATGATGACCAGTCATGACCTAATGTTGAAGGAGCTGGGTTTATATCCTATGCTGCATGAAACAAACTGTAAGTCATTCATGAAACACTCTAGCTGAATATGCCCCCCACTTAAGCTGTTAATTGTAAAGGTTATTTAGGACTCTTAGATCAACCTCATGGAAGAACAGTTTCTTTTGTCCATTTCCAAGTTATCCTGGAAATACTGTAGCCGCTGGACATCACATCACTAATGTCAACAAAACCTATGTTGCTGCCATAATTTTCAGTGCATAATGACTTTGACGCATTTCCCTCTTCGTCCACATAATGCTCTGATGCTGGGGGCTGCTACATGTTGGCAACAATCAGCAGAGTTTCTTCCCACCTGACACAAAAGTCTGCTTCAATATCTTGCATTCTGAGTAACAGTACCACAGCTGCTTATTTTCCCACTGTGTCGATCTGAAAAGGAGCTGAGATCATGAAAAGTAATTGTCCATGAATGATCCATGTCCGACAGCCTCCATTTCTATTATTAGCTTGAGTGTACCCGCTCCATATGTAGGATAACATTTTTGGCAGCAGAACCATGTCATATTTGTCATATGTATATCCCTTTCTATCACAAAGCTCACACAACTTTATTCCAAGTCATTTTCTCTTCTTCAGGGTGTACTGCTGAAATTACATTCTTCCCTTGTATTTCACAGTTATCAACTGCCAAATTTTCTGCAGGGTGAGACAATGTGGAATAATTATTTAGATAACTGAAATCCCCTCTGATTTTCCACACCCTGTTGTAATCTGGATTAGGTCTGTCTGCTGGGTATGCAGTATTTCTGAAATGAAAATGTCACATTTCATGACATTTGAACAGACTGGAGTATAGTACAACTTGTTGGCCACTAATTCTTGATGGTATCAATATTATTAGGGCTGTGGAACTATACTGTCATAATGGAATGACACCAGATGGGCTTTGGATTAGTAATTGGATTTATTAAACACTTACAGAAAGTAGTTACAGATAACTACGACAGTCTCACTGAGTTACACATTCCATAGCTACAGCACCCATAAAAGTCTTCTCGCTCTTTGCTAGCCGTTGCTTGGTAGTGGCTTCCAGTGGTGGATGTTCCCGTTCCTTTGAGTCCCCAAACTGTCCCTAGCCTCTACTACCAACTTCTCAATACTCACAACTGCCTCAACCACAACTCAAAGTCAAAAGTCAAAGTCAGAGTTACTTTATGACTGGCTGTTTACCACAATCCCCATTATATAGCCCAAGCATGGACCACACAGAAAACGTCTTCCATTATTGTGTGTTCTCGCATTGCTGGAGAAATGCGTCAACAGAGCCGTTCCCTAGCAACAGTTGTACTGTCACCTGTTTACACAGCTGTTACTTGGCAATTGGTTTACATTTCAGTATATTTCACTGATAGTAATACGTGTTTCTGAACGCACTGCTCATACTAGCAGTTTGTCCCTGTAAGAATAACAGTGAATAATACATGGGGCAATCCAAAAGTTTCCGAAATTTGAATTTTGCGCGCAAATGGTTATGAGTATATCGAAATACCACTAGGTGTCTCCTCACACATCCTTCTTGAATCAGTGTGGCAAGCAGCGCCGAGTTGAGTGGTTGGGTTTATTGTTGGTGAACGTATTTCCATTGTTGTGTTTCCGTGAGACTGCGGCTTTGCGATGGCTGACCTGAGAGAGCAGCGTGTCTGTATAAAGTTTTGTTTCAAACTCAGGAAAACCGCTGCAGAAACGCACCAAATGTTGAAGCAAGATTTTTGTGAAAACAGTTTAGGCCAGACACAAACTTACAACTGGTATAAGCGTTTTAAAAATGGCCGAACATTCACTGATGATGATGATCATTCGGGACGGCCGTCAACGGGCAAAACACTAGAAAATGTCGCAAAAGTTAGGGATCTGATTCTGGAAGATCGTAGACTGACCATCCAAGACCTCTGTAACACCTTGGGACTATGTTATGGTACATGTCAACGAATTTTGTCAGAGAAACTGAAGATGAGGATTGCGGCAGAGTTTGTGCCATGACTGCTGCAAAATGAACAGAAGCAGCATCGCTTGGAAGTCTGCAGGGAACTTCAGCAACAGCTTCAAGAGGATCCAAACTTTCTTTCGAAGGTTGTCACTGGTGATGAAAGTTGGGTTTGTGGCTACAACCCTGAAAGCAAGCAGCAATCATCGCAATGGAAGAGCCCTTCTTCACCTTGGCCAAAAAAAGCTCGACAAGTCAAGAGCAACATGAAGTCCATGTTGATCTGTTTTTTTGATACTGACAGGATTGTTCATAAGGAGTTCGTCCCTCCTGGTCAGACAGTCAATAAAGAGTTCTATCGTGATGTCCTAAGGCGTTTGAGGGAGGACATGAGGAGAAAACGTCCAGAGAAGTGGCACACGAACAACTGGGTACTCCCCATGACAACGCACGATCGCATACGGCTTACATTATGTAGGAATTTTTGGCTAAAAACAAGATGGCAGTTGTTCCCCACCCACCGTACTCGCCAGACTTAGCTCCATGTGACTTCTTTCTCTTCCCCAAGATGAAAATCAAGTTGAAGGGGTGAAGATTTTATACAGTTGAGGAAATTCAAGCGGAAACACAGACAGTACTAAACACCCTAACAAAGAAAGACTTCCAGGATGCATTTGAAAAGTGGCAGAAACGCTGGGATCCGTGTATGTGCTCCCAAGGGGACTACTTTGAAGGTGATAGTGCAGAATAAGATCTAGGTAAGATGTAATAGTTTTTATTAATATATTTCGGGAACTTTTGGATTGCACCACATAGTTTATCAGTAAACATTAGTCTGAAGCCATCAAATGATGATGAATCTCCACTGATATGAGGTGTAATATGAATCAATCCATGAATCAGGAGCAGTTATAACTGGTCATTACCTACCGGCATAAATTCTAGAAATTTATATTTGTTACTTAGTACCAATTTTATACTACATGTAACTTATGCCCAGTCTTGCATTAACTGTTCTAAGACTCTGCAGCGAGCAATGTACTGATAAAGCCTACTAGAAGGTTCTTTAATAGCGGAGTGGTATGTGAATGACTACTCATCCCACTGCCAGTCTGATAAAAGAAGCTTCAAGAATGATCTGGAAACAGAAGGTTCTAGATGTTATGTCATCTCACAGTATTTAAAGGGGTTGATCTCCACATACAGAAGTAGCACTCCATAAATCAGTGAGTGGACGTGTAGATTCAGCTGGGAGACTGATGTACATCTTCTACCGTGCTGTAATGTCGTGTTGTGAATCTTGAAGTGTGTACAAAGTGCAACTAAATTTACGAGTAACCGCTATTTGTAACTGTGTAGTGCTGTGAATAAAGAGTGCATTATTAACATCGAGCTGTGATCCAGAGACTTCTTCTTCAAGAAACCCTCTTCGTCGGAGCAAGGCCCATTAAGCCCTGGGGAGAGAATCTCATTGCTCAACCCAGAACATTATCCTCTTTCTAACCCAAACACCTTGATGTGGTTCACAGACCACATAACGGTGCCCAAGCAACTACAAAGGTGCAAAAGGACGGCTAACGTGGTGATTACGTGAAGCCCCAATAAAAGGACTGTTACACAGTGAAACCATGCACTGTAGCACTGTCTGCAGTTCTTCTCCCATGCTACTCGTATTTGTTGCAACAATGTCATCACTTTCTTCAGATAAACCGTGTAATTCATTTCTAAGTTATCTGACATATACTGTTCATCAGAATTGAAAGCTCTCTATTTTGTTTACACTGATGTTGCATGAATATTTCTCCATGGTGCTTGCAACAAAATTACTGATTTACCAAAGACCACAATGGCATCAGTGTTACATAAAAAATTCAGTTATGTGTGTCTGAAAAGAAGCAATATATGTTACACATCAAAAGGATCCAGTTTCTGTGCACCAAAATCTAAGACGTTATACCATGTCGTTTACAGCAAAACTATTACTACAGAGATGGATCAAACCAAAGTCAATAAACTCCATAATGTCAAAAAAATTAAGTCACCAGTTCATAGCTGTAGGTCTAAGAAGTAACACTGTATGATCAGTTCATGTGCACTCAAGTAAGTTATTTCTTTAGTAATATCATGCAGCTAAAATACTAACTGCTCATCCACATTAAAGCACAGACTGCACAGTTAGTAAATTAGCAGTTTGTCCTAATTATGGTTTCAGTGTGTGGTTACTAAACTAACCACGGGTACAGAAAGACTTAATTTGCATCTACAATTTATATTATATTCTGCAACTTACATGCTGTGTTACTCTTAAGTACTGTAAATCCATAGTTTGGGACACAAATGAAGCACCAAACAAAAGCCAGGGATGTAACAATGTGCTCCCTGGTCAGGGCTATGAAAGATAATGAGTATGCAGCAATGGAACTGTGACATGATGCCTGGAAGCCGGAATAGTTCATTGCTAGGCAACAACTCGGTAAACACATTCCCGTGGAAGCGAACATGTGCATGAACAGAAGAGCAGTGTTTTTCTGTGGCACCTCTGCAGCAGTGAATCATTATGCAACAATAGAGGAAGCAGTGTTTTCTCTGGGGGCCACCCAGAGGTTATATGACGAGGATCTCAAGCTGCTAGAATTAGAATTGAGAGCACCTCCAGAGTTGACATTTGGCAAAATAATTGAGAAGTACTGGCAAGAAAGGGATTAGGCTGTGCAAAGAAGACTTCATAGTGTGCTGCAGTTACAGTGACCTGTAAATACAAGTAGCACTATAATTAATTGTAGTTATGAGTTGAGTGTATAAGGTTTCAATAAATCCAATCCAAAACCCATGCATGCCCCCTAAATACTTGACAGTACATTAATGAATAGTATGGGAAAGCCAAAGACACTCAGAAAAACTTGCTCCAATGCCATTTTGTCCTTCATGAGGCTCGTGCAAAGTTGCCTGGGATAGAACCCGAGGCTCTGTGGTGAGAAGCCAGCTCCTCATTGATCTATGGCAATCATCCTGTATGATGTTCTCTCCATCTGTGTGTGTGAGAAAAATGGTTAAGAAAACACAATTGTGATATGCGGTAGAACTAGAGCATTCTGAATATTGGCAACACTGTTCCAGGAAGCAGACGAGCTGTATGAACTGCAAATACAAGAGTGGGAACCTATATTGAAATGGTTCTGCAAGCGTTATGACGTGAAACTCGAAGCTGCAAGAGACATTTCTGGCCCAACTATCAGTCACGAAACTAAAAATGTACTCACAAAGCATCTCTCATCCTTTAACTTTTGGGCAGTTCATGGTAGGTATCGCATTGCCTTTGTGTGAATGTTGAAAGTATCTGAGAACAAAATAGAACTGGATGTTCATAATAATATTAAGAAAGTCCCCACTATTCAGTCCTGAGACTAAGACTAAAGCCGTGCATTGCCCCCACACACTGTTTTTACATTAAAACCTGCACTTCAACAGGTTACAAGCTTCTGTCCAGTCTGCCAGTATGCATGCCAATTGTGAAAGGGCGCCAGGCTTTTAGTGAAGGCTGTGTCTAATGCTTTGTGAATTTTATTCAGTTTCCAGGTTCATCATACGATGAGTTACTTGTACATCTTCATTTTTGCATCTAGTAGCTTCAGTATTTTCATACTTCAGAGCCAATACTATATGATTATTATGTTGTTATAAATAGGTTTCAGTTTTGGAGTTGAAGCACTGAAGTCTGTAATTCTGACACTGTGCTGCACAGACAGGCATATCAGTGTTGAAAAGGCAGTCCTGCTGTCATGCCTGGAAGAGGAGTTCCAGGTAAATAAAACAAGGCTCAAATGTCTCTCTACTAAAAGGAGCACCAGTTCTTTATCCAGCATATAGTGGTTTCCTTGTCAGCACAATATATAAAAAGGTAAAGTTGTCCCTGTCCATAATTAATTAAGCACTATGCCATGAAGACATATGGGGGAGTGGAGGTGTATCTCCACCATTCTTGACCTTGGCACTCGATGAGTTGTCAGCTTCACACCCCAGCCACTTTACCCCTGAAGAAAGAGCCCCCAGGTACTCATTGTATAGGAGGATGGGTGGGCCCCAGAGGTGGTCTGGACACTGTAGAAAACTCTTGCCAGTGCCAGGAACTGAACCCCAGAAACCCAACCCACAGCCTGTCACTATACTGACTTAGCTATCTCAACTCCCATCACTATATAATGTGATATGTATACCTGTTGCTAGGCAACACCCATGAAATAAGCAACTATACAGCAGCTGTTGCTAAGTAATGAATCAGCAAACAAGCATGTTTCCACAGCAACAATAGAATACAGCAATAATGGAGATGTTTTCTCCACAGTGCATGTCAAGATGTTATATGCAGAACCAGTTGGCAGTTTTAGTGCCTCCCACGTGAAGGTGGGTTTGAATACCTCCACCATAGCCCTGTGAGTTGTAGATGAAAAGGAAACACAGCACCTGGGCATATAACTGGGCCACCCTGCTCCTGGGGTGCATAAATATGGGGACCTGGCCCTCAAGGCTGTGGGAGGCTTGAATGTGAGCCAGTCCCATGGGACTTGGACCTGGGAATGACCACTGATGAGAGCCAGCACCAACTGTAAATGACACAGACACATATTCTCATTAGAGAGGGTGCCCCACAGCAACAAACCCCCAACTGGTCTTGGGCCCCAGATGGGGTGCTTGACACCAAGACAGACTGGCAAACTGACTGTCAGTTGTAACACTACTCTGACTTTGAGTTGCAGTCAGAGAACTGCTGGGGTTCAGTCGTTTTCAGTTGTTGTAAGCTGTTGCTGTGAGAAGCTGGTAGCTGAGGCCAGGTACAGTTCAGAATCCCAGAGGAAAGAGAACATCCACCGTTAGAAGCTGCTACCAAGCAACAGCAGTGAAGACATGTCTTTCAATACTAATGTGTGTGTAATAGTGACCTCTAAGTGTAGTCACATGCTGTGTCAAAGTGTGCGATAAATCGAGTCATCAATCCGAAACCTGTCTACAGTCACTTCACCGCCATTTGTGAGCTGACTGTCTAGAAATCACTGTTACAGGGATAGCTTTACTTATATATACACAAACACACTCCATGGTCTGTAGTCCGCAAGTGAACTATACTGACCGAGTGACCGCCACTTGTCTGCAAAGTTAGTAAGAAGTTTTGCAGACAGAGGGTATCACGTGGTCAGCCCCCCACAGCCGTTAATCTCGGTTTTCTAGACCGGGGCCGCTATTTTCTTCAAACAGCTCCTCAATTATCCTCGTGAGGCTGAGTGGACCATGTTTCAGACCCACTTCTGAGAAAATCTGGTAGTGCCGAGAATCGAACCCGGGACCTCTGGATCTGTAGGCAGGAACTCTGACCACTAGACCACAGAGGTGATCAAATATATATATATATGCAAAAACTTTAAACAAGGAGCAACAATCAAATTAAGAAATTATATCTTTATATAAGAATAATATCAAATGGTTTCACAGTCTCATGTGCAGCACATCTTTCTATAAAACTTACTGAAAGTTATGCATTTCAGAAGTTTTACACGTCATGTACATTTTAACTTATAAAAGTTATTCACTACCCATTTTGACCAATAAGGTCATCATCAGTTGTTTTCAATTATAAATGATGAAGCTGCTGTGCTGGTTGTTACTATGTGGTTCCTTCTATGCACTTGCATATATGAAGTGGCAGGTCGTTCTGCCTGTTCTATTATCCTGTGCATCTCTCGCTATCACAATAGTGGCACATTGCTGTAGCAGTTGCAGCTATCATACATACAGGCAAGAGTACTGAGTCTATTTCTTAATGAGTTTGGGTGTTCTCTATTTTGTACATACAACAAAACAGGGAACACACAAGTCACATGTTTACAGATTGGGAAATTGTCAGACATGAACAACAAAAGTAAGCTGAGGGCTTCCAAGATGACTGCAGAGTCATACAAGCAAAAAAGATGTGTGTTGGTTATACTTTACCGTATGGGAACAGAGGAATTTAAATCCTCCAGTACTACAGGATTGGTGGCCACATTTTAACTTGGGCATGACAGTATCAGTATTGATAAAACCTTCTCGGACTATCAGCTGTGTCAGTTGGTTTATCAACTTTAGATGCTGTGCAGACTTCAGGTAGAGATATTAGTATTGACAAGTATTAAACAAGGTTTTCCCATATTCTGATTACTCTGAAGCGTTATACACATACAACCCTCAGAGTTCACTAATGTGACTTAAGGCAGGATGCATCTTCTTTCTGACGGCAGCACTGTTTAGGAATATTACTGAAGTTTATTTAAAATCAGCCCACTTGTTACACAAATTACTATTTATTCTTAAACCCTGTGCACGTTTTCCTATTAAAAAAATTAGCCTGCACGAGTTATTCATGGCACAAGGTTGGCAACATTAACACAGCAATAGTGCCCAGCCTGTTCATCATCAGGCTAGCCAAACTCATCTTAATCTTCGCAACTTGCTCCCATTTTGCGCACCCACACACAGCTGCAATCAGTATCAGCTTCAAGAAGGACTGTTGTATGGTGTTAATCATGGCAACGATGCATTAAACTCCATTTCTTATGGGAATGAGTGTACTGTCATCAGTCAGTGACACGGGCTGTTAAATCATCATTATAAAGTTACTAGATTCTATTTTCAACATATTTATGGTTGTAAGATTTGAGGTTTTCACGGCAGAGACTATGAAGAGAGCAGTCTTCTGGGATGTGGCACCGTGTAGATGTGGTGTTAACCAATGTTTCGGAGGAACATATCGCCTCCATCTTCAGCATAGAAGGAAAAATAAATGATCCGCAAGCTAATTGGACCACGAGAATCGGTACAAGCAGTCTGCTTTAGCGGTTCTCACAGTCTCTTCGCTTGCGGATTATTTATTTTTCCTTCTACGCTGAAGATGGAGGCAATATGTTCCTCCAAAAACGTCGGTTAACACCACATCTACACAGTGCCACATCTCAGAAGACTGCTTTCTTCATATTTCTGGTTGTCATATGCCAGTGGGACATCTAGACTTACACAATACCTTATTTCCATAAGGTCGCCTGAACAAGATATGGTCAGCGTGGTCCCAAGGGTAGACAGACTTTAATAATGTCTGTTTTTTCTTCCTCAGAGTGGTCACTGGGGTCGTGTTGAATGGGCTCACGACTTGAATCAGCAGGAGATGCAAGCTCGATTAGCAGCTGCAGTACTGTTCATTCAACTGAATTCTTCCTCTACATTTGTACAGTCCAAGCAACAATGTGTAGCAGCATGAATATCACATGTACACAGTTTTAAATAAATTAATTGCACTGCTGGTTTTTCTTAACTTTCACCTGTTCCACAAACTGTTGATACTGACGCTTGCTTTTACACAGCACCAGGAGAGTATGTGGTTTATAGCCCAAGCCCTTCAATTCTAAAAGACGCGACTTTGTCGTCTCAATACTATGAAACAGTATACGAGGGACCTGGAGTACATGTTGAGGGGTGTATCCTTCTGCATACACAAAATCAAATACTTCCTTCAATTTGGACACTTGAATCCTTATTATCGATGGGTATTTTGAATTTAAATATTCTACAATTTCAGTATCACATTGCAGTTGTTGAGAGAGGTATTCAACTACTGAACCCTCACCGAGAAGCTCTTTTTTCACCACTGCTCTCTGCAGTAAACTGTTGGGAAACAAATAAAAAAAAAAGTGTTATTAAGTTTCATGGTTTTTGTCATCAAAAATTACACAATAAAAATCTTACTAATTTAGTCTGCAAGAAATCCCTATCCGATGAATCTCTGGGGCAACAGTTTTTCTTACACAAAATCAGGGTTTTCACTAAATGTGCAATTACATTAAGAAAATGGGTTATAGTGCCGTGTTGTCTGATGAAAGTCAACTACCTGCTTTCACACTAGTATCTTCCTCAGCTTATTCTTTGGCCCTGAAGATGGAGGTGATATGTTCCTCCAACACATCAGTTGACTTTCAACGGACTGCGTGGCATTATATCCTATAAGACAGCACTCTACATAACCACCGCTGTGAGAAACTCAAATCCTACACATTAAGAAGCTGTTTGTCTTCTTATGACTTCCTGCATATAATTATGATAAAACAGTTTCTTTGCATAAGAATTCAAAGCAAGTGTAATACGAAATTAACTTATAAACTAATGATGTTTAGATGTAAACATTGAAAGAACATTAGCTGAGAATCAGAATAACTATGATGCCACGAGTGAGATGGTTTTGGTGTATGCTCAGTCTGTGATGTAACCTGCCAGAGACAGAGTTGTGTCGAAACGATTTCCGGCAGAGAGAAAATGTGAATACCAATTCTGTTTCAATGCCAATCGCACTAAACCAAAGTATGAGATTTAAAAGTTCTAAGGCATATTACACAAAATAAGGATTACTTACTAAATTAAAATCCACCAAGTATGTGAAATTGGCTGCACCATAGCTCAAGCAGTTAGTCGCTGGCTTTCCACCGTGGCGGCCCGGGTTCGATCCCAGGTCTGGTCAAGTGGGATTTGTGGTGGACAAAGTGGTGCTGGGGCAGGTTTTCTCTGAGTACTTCAGTTTCCCCTGCCAATCTTCATTCCACCAATTGCTCCACAATCACCCTCACCTATCATCTTGGGCTGGTACAATAGGCCAGAAGTGGCTGCAGTACAAGGGACTTAGTCCCACCCCGTTAGCAATAAAAAAAAAAGTATGTGAAAGTAAAACATGTTCAAATTGGAATCAAACTTGGGCCTGAAAATACATTTACTGTGTATGATCTGGATTACATGACAATCAGCAAGGTGATAAATGAAAAATGTCACCATTACTTGCTACCTCAATAGCTACAGGAGCGAGTTAGAGTCAGCATCATCAAATAAACAAAGTGAAAGAAACAACATAGATATGTACGACAAATATATATAAGACATTCTGCTGCACAGAAGACAGGAAAAATGTAACTTTATGACAGTACTGGCTGTTAATGATGTATGGTAACTACCGATTAACAAAATTAACCAGAAGTTTAATGTTAAAGAAATGGCTCTGATGTTGAAGGTTTCATCTGTGGTTAAGACACAGCAAACACAGGAGCACATATTACAAGAAAACGAAATATAAAAGGTCTTCGAGTCTCTGATATCATCAGCTTCTAAAAGTAGAGGCAGATAACAGAACCATTATGTACATTTGTCATAATGCCTGAAAGTAACACTGGCTCTTAAATAAGGCATGCAATTTCAGGTTATCCAGAAGATAATTACAATTGTATGAACTTAAAATTTTTGAACAATCTGTTGTGTCATAACATGACATGGCATGAAATGACTGCCAGCCTGGGACCCAGTCAGTTGTCAGTTATCAGTTAAAAGTCAAGTTCTACGTGGGAGGCTCTGACAAGAGGACCTGAACATGTGAAGCTGAAGAATCTCCACTGTTAGAAGCCTTTACCAGGGAATGGCTGGTGAACACATAGGAGGTTGGAAAAGGCTTAGCAGGTGCTGTGGTGATTTGTGGTGTGGAGATCAGCGATAGCACCGTAACTAACTGTAGTTCTGAGTTGTGTGCAGAGGTGGTCAATAAATTCATTCAGCAATCCATACTCCATCTATAGTCACAATCCCTAAATACATGACAATATTTTGTCATAGCAATTATTTGCAACTGATCTAAAATTAAATGTCAGTTTTGGACTCAGTTTGGCAGTGACCATGTTACAGTCATTCTGGGGCACTTCCCATGGTTTCCAAGACCAGTCCAGGGGATATTTTGCTTATATTAGATACAATTATTCACATTTAATTCACATTTTATATAATAATCTAATTATTTCACAGTCACAACAATACTGTCACTATACAGATACTAAAAAACAACTGAGTAGTCAGCCATGCCATGAGGTACTGGCTCAACAAGGACTGAATGGATCATGCCATATCCAAATGAATTAAGTTTTGCTCTACATGCAAACTTAATAAAATATGTACTTACTTTGAAAATATTTTATTTGAACACCGCAACATCCATGGTTTGATAGTGGCAACTCCTGCTTTCTTAGCTATGCTTAGCCGCTCTGCAGTTTTTTTTGCACTGTAACGGAATATCCACATATCGTTCAGGATGTGCAGAGGACAAACTCCTGCGTCTGAAAGTTCATTTTGTATAGTAAACAAATATGGGCTGGTGCATCTTTAAAATGTCTGTGGACATAAACTGTAATTAAAGGCAACTTTACTAAATTCATCAAAAATTATGTTGGACTTAGGGCTCTCATACCAGTGACTATGAAGAGTACTATGCTCTGGGACATGAGATCGCGTAGTCTGGCAAAGTTCAGCCATATTTCAGACAAACATCCTTCCTCTGAATCACTGGTGAAGTCCTATTGGTGCACACACTGGCAGAACCCAGAAGATAGTACTATGTATCAAAAATGTTTCAAGTACAGTGCTAACCGGTCAGTAACAGCCAAATTCATACTCATCTTCCTGAAAGGCTCCAACACAAAATTCCACCACAATCTGATAAGAGAGCTGAGTGTCCACTGAACTATATGCTTAGAAATGCCAAGGTTGTTTGCGGTGTATATGTAGTTGTACAGAAAACCCCTTCCTAATATGACTATCAAATGACCACAGGTACTTATCATGTGAAAGCCTGTTCTTCGCTCACAGAAATTCTGTACTAACTGATTAATAATGAGTCAGACTCCTCAGCTGTGGGCATGGTGGCATACAATGTGCATGAATGGTGTGACAGCCTTGGGTTTTCATTCACACAGAGCATGCCTAAGATGATTTTTAATCTGGAAATGAGTTATTTAAGGGATATCATCATATTCAGCACAAAAGCAGAACTGCCTCCACTGGACTTGTAGTAAAACAGTAATTAATACAAAAGACTATAGGAGGAATATAGCATGCCCCTCAAAAAATCTCTGTTAGGCCCCATCACACAGCTAATCCAAAATCAAATCCACACATGACATTATCAAATATTAAGGTAAAGTTATACATTAATTATTCCCAAAGTGGGGGGTGGAGTCCACCTGGGTCCACTTGGCACATCAGCCACTGATTTGCCTATTGTACCTGCCCTGGGTGATTATGATGATGGAGAATTTGGTGGAATTAAGATTGGCAGGGGAAACCGAAGTACTCGGAGAAAACCTGCCCCAGTTCCACACTGTCCACCACAAATTCCACTTGACCAGACCTGGACTTGAACCCGGGCCGCCAAAGTGGGAAGCCAGCAACTAACCACTTGAGCTATGGTGCAAGAAGTGCAGAAAAAACTTGGCTTTTGTTTGTTGATATAGTCTAAAAATTTCAAAAAGTGGAACATATACGATGGGGTACCCAAAAGAAACCTAACTAATTTTTTTGTGGGCAGAGCTTTTGTAGTACCGCATTTTGCCGCTATGAGCGCATAGAGCTAACATTCCTGAGTCGATAAGCCGATAAGCAGTTTATAGTGACAACTGTTTTGTGTGATCATCATTTTTGCAATGGCTGATTTTCATGAACAGCGTGCGGTGGTGAAATTCTGCTTTTTGCTCGGGAAAAGTGGAACAGAAACTCTTGAAATGTTAAAAACGGCGCA